CTGAGGCTCCAGTACTTTGGCCATCTCATGAGAAGGGAAGACTCCCTGGAAAAGACCCTGATGTTGGGAAAATGTGAGGGCAAGAGGAGAAGGGGACGACAGAGGATGAGATGGTTGGACCGTGTCATCGAAGCTACCAACATGAATTTGACCCAGCTCCAGGAGGCAGTGGAAGACAGGAGGGCCTGGCGTACTCTGGTCCATGGGGTCACGAAGAGTCGGACACGACTTAACTAAACAACAAAAAAGAGCATTAATCTCACTGAAGGACAGGCAGGATATAATAAATAAATGAAATATTTTTGCATATTTCATTCTCAGAGGTTGAGAACAAAAAATTTCAAGTGTTCTCCTTGAAGGGTGAAATTATAAGGTCTTTTTTTGGGGGGGAGGGGTTTCACATTAATTTCATTTTATTGTATTCCTATGCTGCCTTTCTCCCCAAAGCAACTCCAGGTGGTTCATGATAATTTCAGTGTAATAAATTCACCTTTTTCATTCATGTTGCTGCTTTCGTTCTGCGCATGCGCAGGATTAACCCATTTGTCTGCATTCACAGAGACCACTATGAAGAACTGGCCCTTCTGCCCTTTTTGCAAAAGTGAAAAATTTAGCAACAGTTGGGGTTTTGGGAGTGTGCTCTATTTCAATGTATCAAGAGTGCTTTTTTCATGGAGGAAAATTTGTAACTATTCATTGCATCCCTAAAATAGATAGGACCAGTTCTACCATTTAATCAGAGTGAGGGGAACGCCTTACGTGGCAGATGCTCCTTGCTGTTACTCCTGGACTCCATGACTGCCCATCTTAAGACACATTTGAATTGGACTAAATGAGAATGATGCCTCACATGTGGTAAGGATCTATCCCTCTTGTCAAGGTTAAAGTCATGTTGAACTGTTTATCCAGCCAGTATTTGTATATGGAAAATGGATCCACCTTTATATCCTTCAACTTGGGCAGCAAAACCTCTCAAGCCAACCATGTTTTGCCATATTCTTGTTTAACCTCAGTCACAAATAACAGCCTGATTACTGTCCTTACCCTATTCAGGAATTCAATACTGGATGAAGTTGAAAACATGAGTAGGGAGAGAGGTCTAGACAGAATCTGTTAAAAAAAAGCCTTTGCTAACATGTAGAATGTATGCATACAGTTGAGGACCTAGAACAATTAAGGTTCTTGATCACATGGAGAGATTCCACATGTAGCAAACAGTGTCCTCTTCAGACGGTCTTCATGTGGAGACAGTGACCGGAAGTAAAGGTTCCCTTTGACATTTAGTCCAGTCGTGTCCAACTCTAGGGCGCGGTGCTCATCCCTGTCACCAAGCCGTAGAGCCAGCGTTTGTCCGTAGACAGTTTCCGTGGTCACGTGGCCAGCATGACTAGACACGGAACGCTGTTGCCTTCCCACCGTGGTGGTACCTATTTATCTACTCGCATTTACATGCTTTCGAACTGCTAGGTTGGCAGGAGCGGGGACAAGCGACGGGAGCTCACTCTGTTGCGTGGATTCGATCTTACGACTGCTGGTCTTCAGACCCTACAGCACAGGGGCTTCTGCAGTTTAACCTGCAGAGCCACCACGTCAGACAGTGACCGGGAGGGGGCAAACTAAAACTGTCTCTCTGCCTGCAATTTCAAAGGAACCCCTTTTTAAAATGCTTGACTAGACCTCATATTTTCAGTGTTTCTAGAATGAACTCAAATAACTGCACAACAATGAAGAAATATTTATTGTATACTTCAGATGAAACTGGATCCTTCTGAAAGCAACTACAGCTCTGCTCACAGAGCAAGTAAGTGAGCCACACAGTGGGTAGACCTGCCTACTCTCTGTCATCAATTTCCTCACACGGAAAGTGAGGAGAGAGGTTTCTGATCATGTAGAAAGTCTCCAAATGAGTAGGAACGGGGTCCCCTCTTTAGATGCGCTATTTTCTGGTAAGAAAAGTGGTGACATAGGCGGAAGGGTTAGCCATTCCCACTCTTGAAGGTTAAATACAGCATGAGAGGCAACGTCTAAACTGAGTGTCTCTTTCAGTACCAATTTTACAGGTTTATATCTAATTTCCCAAATACTTATGATTTGAATTATTCACACGGTGATACATTTTTATTCTACTTTTACTTCAGATCGTTTGCTTTATAAAAGTGAGAGACATAGATATACCATCGCTTAAGAAACTTGGTGAAAAATGATGTTCACAAAAATTTCACAAAATGAAACAAGCCCTGTTACAAACATTAACAACCTGGCAACTCCTAGATATAAGACTACTGTATTGTAACATTTTTAATGAAATGGCAGCATTCTTAAAATTCGAAGGAAAACAACGACACAACCATTAATACAATACAATGTAAGAAATAGTACTCCAAAACAAAAGTGTGTAGATTTGTGTTTTTAGACTGCAACTCCCAGAATTCCTGAGACGGACTTGGGAATTCTGGAAAACTGTCAAAAACATAAATCAGCACATTTCTACTACAAACTGCTGTCTTACATTATTATCTTTGAAATAATCAAAATCTGGAAATGATGTACAACGGACTCCAACCTCTAGGATTTACCCCCTTGGCCATGCTGCTTAGGAGACAATGGGAACAATGGTGGCTAGTGACTCCAATTTCAGGGGAACTGTGAATCTGCTCCAGGGTTTAGTCTGTGCTTCACAGCAGCTATCCAAGTTACTCAACGCTATCTTCAAACAGCTTCAGCATCCGGAATGGATTCATGGACCCCTTGAGATTGGAGTCACCCGTCACTACTGACTGGGAGTTCCAAACCGTTAAAAAGTAACTTTTCTTAGTTTTCCAAATAATTGTCTATCTCAAAAGGGGGAAACTATGTTCTTTCTCTTTTTAAAGAGTTTTATATGCAGAGCGTCTGAGCGCCTGGATTTCTGCTCCTTAATTAACAGCTGCCATTGCTAAAACAGGGGTCATGCATGGATGATTTGTTATAATAGGGAAGAATTATATAGTTAATGTCTGATGTAGCTTGGCTCTCAAAACCTCCAGATCCTTCTTGATTTAGAAACAGGACAAAGCAGTCACTTCATAGGCAATGATGTCTCTCTCCTAAGACTTTGGGGGGAAAAAGCCATCTGAAAAAGTTGAGTCACTAAAGAGATCTACATCAATGGCATTGAAGAATGAAATCAAATCAATCTATCTCCAGTTTCTCAAATTGTAGTTGGGACAAGGGAATCCAACCGCTTATTCAGAAGTGTCTTGCACTTGGCAAGAGAAGAAAAGCCACTTGAAACAATTCTAATTGTTAAACCTTTATAAAAGCCATTTGCAAGACAATGGAATTACTTTGTATGACACTAGCTTGAAAAATGCCAAAATGGAATTTGTGCTACCTTTAACCCATGAATAACGTCATACTGCAACACACCATAAAAATCAACTGGGATACATGCTTCTCTATGGTTGCTGTTCTGGATGCAGAAGGCACATTAATTTCAGCCACATTACTTGTCCATTAAGTTGAAGATCATTTCACAATAACTGTTGCTTTCCTATCATCCAAAAATTTACTGCCTTTTCTCCATGCTCCAACATGAATACCATATGAGACACCAAACTGAGAGTTCACAGAAGGCGCTGCTTGAAGAGACATAGTAAGAGAGACAGGAAAAACAGGACTTTGCGGGAAACCAAAACACACACACACACACACACACACACACACACACACACCCTTCATTGCCTCAGGGACTAACTTCATTTGAGGCCAATGCCCATTGCTCCATTTATAACACACACACACACACACACACACACACACCCTTAAGAAAACTTATCTTTGAGGATTCAACCTCTGAGCTCAGAATGTTGGACATTTTGTCTCTATTGAATCTTGAGCCTACAAACTCTACCTCCAAGAAGGTGTGTTCCAATTGGTTTGATCAGGGTCAGCTGACATCAGTTCCATAAGGCTCCTAATTGGAAGAAGCTAAGTATCCTGACTGTAGGAAGCTGAGCCTCATGGCTGAAGGGAGTCTGTTTACAGAGCCAAGGTATGTGCTGTTTTGTTCTCTTCTCGGCTATCTCAGCTTAAGGTAAAGTTCCCCTTGACATTTAGTCCAGTCGTGACCGACACTAGGGTGCAGTGCACATCCCCATTTCCAAGCCATAGAGCTAGCGTAGATTTTTTTTTGTCTGAAGACAGTTTCCATGGTCACGTGGCCAGCGCGA